AACCCGTGATAGTCTGAATAAGACAATCTAATCCAGACTGCTTGAATCAAAACTGTGTTATTTTTTTAGCGAATCGTGCTTTGCTTGTAGTTTTTGAGTTTTTCTTATATTTGCTGAATGATTCTTTGTGATTTATGATACTTATTCCGATTATTATTCTAAAGATTCGCCTTTGGTTCTCCAGAGAATTATCCTCCATTCCCCTGACTTTCTGATTTATGATATTCACCAATAGTTGCTACTTAAATAATAATGCTGATGTTTTTCATCTTCAGCGTAAATTAAAGTAAACATCATATTCAGTGTAATAGTATAAATATAAAACACCAGTTTTAAAATAACTATTACATGTAAAACATATATACAATTAAAGTTTTTGAAAATGTTATTACATTACAATAATTTTGTCCATGAATCTGTATATGCAAAAATGTACTAATGTATAAAAACAAAAGTGTTAGATCATAGTTATATAAACCAAGTTTTATTATACTATCTGGACTAATAGAAAAGTAAACATAACATTTGATCATTCATATTGTTCTGAAGCTATTTTCTTGTGGCAATTTAAAGTAATTACTGTTTAAATGTTGCAATGGGTAGAGCCGTAACTTACCGTGCCTACGCTCTATGAGTCGCGGATTTGGATCCAACCAAGCTCATGAATTTTTCCATTTTTATATAGAAAAATGTTCACGTCCGTCGGATCGGTACTTGTTCTAGGTGTCAGAGTTGCATATATAGAGCGAATCTTTTTAAAAGCAATACAGCCGAGTTACCTCTTCTACAGTTTCAGTATTTATAAATAATATATTACGGCTTATTCCCATCATCGACCTATAACAACCCATTAAAGGCAGTTATGTACTGGCCAAAAATTATTTTTAATGGTTTAAAAATGTATTATGTAGATAATACAAAGATACACTCTGATACTAAAAGAAGTTAAGTTTACTTTGATATTTGATGTCTTTGTTAATATTGGGAATGTAGTATGCGAATATGGAATAGTATATTTGGACCTTGAGTTTTTATTGAGTGATTGATAAATACATGCCAAAGTAACTGTAATAAATATACTCGATTATAGAAATGTACTTATATATTATTATTAAATAAAAATGGTATTCTTAGTTTCCTTCATTATAGTCAAAACCTTTGTTAACTAGTTAACAAATTACATGAAACGACAACCCTCCCGCAAGACTGGTTGGAATCATTATTTATTCCAATACGTAAAAAAATGGAATCAATAAATTCTCCCATCTTAGATTAATCAGCCTTATGAGCCATGCTTTAAAAATTATCTTGAAAATTATTCACCAACGAGTATACATAAAACGCGAACAAATTAAGCGATGAACAGTTCGGGTTCCACCAAGGGTTGGCGACCAGAAAGGCCCTCGTTGGTCTTACAGTAGTATTACAAAAATGCAGACAAAAGATGTTTTTGTGTGTTTCATAAATGATGAAAAGGTGTTTGACGTAGTAAAACACACCAAACTCATTGACTTTCGTACTAGACAAAGGTTGTACCAACGTCAGTTTTATTAAAAATCTAAAAATATTTTATTAAAAATTTGAAACCAGACAGTCTTAGTCAAAATAGGCGAACACCTATCCAGTAGGTATATCCAAGTATGTGTTCTGTCACATACTCTCTTTAACCTTTATGCTGAAGAAGTGTTCCAGAGCGCATTCGGAAACATTCAAGAAGGCATTAAAGTTAACAGAAGGCCGATCAACAATATAAAGTATGACGATGATACTGTTACGAAATGGAACATATTAAGTAATTGTTAATGATTAAGACTAGATCTTCAAGTCGACATTGAATAAGAAGAACAAACAACTCCATATAGCAACATAAAACATCCGCTCCATGGCAAAAGATGAAAAACTCTACGAACTAGAAGAGGAATTGGGGAACTTAAATTGGGACTTTCAGAAGTTAAAAGAAGAGGTGAAGGATATGTGGACTTACATTCAGGCAACAGACTCTATTATAAAGGCAGAGAAGACTACACATACGGTGAAGTGGTTTCTTAATAAACAAGAAGAGAAAATCTCAAATTCAAATAAGTGACAGCATCTCAGACAGGGTTACATACATGGTCTTAAAACCAAGTCCAAAAACTAAAATAAAAGTCGTGCAAGTTTGTGCTACAACTGAAAAAGCAATCGATGAGGAAATAAATACTTTTTACGAAGACCTTAAAAAAGCTATAGACAACAACAAAGAATCCAAAATAATAATAATGGGAGACTTTAACGCCAAAATTGGAAATAAGATTGAAGACTCTGAAAGCCAGATTGGAAATTTTGGACTCGGCACAAGAAACACAAGAGGAGAAAAACTCATGAAATTCCTGAACAAGAAAACATGTATGTTATGAATACCATCTACAAAAAGAAACAGAAAGTAAACATGGGTCGCACCTAACGGAACTACCGAAAATGAAATAGACTATTTTCTCTCAAACAACAAAGGAATATTTGAAGACGTCACAACAATAAACATCTTACCAACGGGTAGTGACCATCGTATAGTTAGAGCAAAAATAAATATTAACATGAAAGAAGAGAGAAAAAGGATTTAAAAAAAAAAACAACGAAAATAGATGCCTTTAAGCTAAGAACAAATAAAGAGCAATTCCGAGAGGTCTTAGCGGATAAGTTCGAATCTGATCCTTCACATAATCAAGATCAAATTGACGAGATTAATAAAAACCTTGCAGCTGGAACACAAGGGTCGCAGAGAAAACAAGGACTAAAGAAGACAAAATAAGCAATGAAACTAAACAACTAATGACGGAAATAAGACAACTACTAGCGCAAAACAAACGCTATACTCAAGAATACAGAGAACTTAATAAAACGATTAGAAGAGAACTAAAACGCGACATACAAAAATGGAACGAAAACTTAGTAGAGCGAGTCATTGAAAACAACAGAGGCTTAAAATGTTTAAGACCCGCACTGGGAATTCAAAAAATCATCAAAATTAAAGATGCCAACAATAAGGAAGAGAAGGACAATTATAAAATAAGAAATATTGTCGAAGACTTTTACACATCCTTGTACAGCTCGCAAAGCCAGCCTAATGAAACAACAACAGAAACGTCAAAAGAAAAATAAAAAACGTGGGATCAGAAGTACTACCAAATATAAAGGGATCGAAATAGAAAGAGCTAAAAAATAATAAAGCTCCAGGACACGACGGTATAATTGCCGAGCTTTTGAAAACAAGCAAGACATTAACAATCCCTGTACTAACACAGCTATTTAATAGATGTCTCCATGATAGCAAGATAGCAAAAAGGGGACAAATGTGATCTACAGAATTATAGACCTATTCGTTGCTCAGTCAAGTATACAAACTATTTATGAGAATTATTAACAACCGGTTGACCTAGAAAATGGACAATTACCAACTGGTTGAACAGGCTAGCTTCCGCAAAGAATATAGTAGGTACATCAGACCATCTGCTGACAATGAGAACATTTATATAGACGGCAAATGAATATCGACTACCCGTATTTCTTGCCTTCGTTGACTATGAAAAGGCGTTTGATAGTATCGAGATGTGGGCCATAGAACAAGCTATTAATAATTGTAGAATAGATTCGAGATGTAGGCAACTATTACATAATATATATGAAAATGCAACTATGATAGTACAACTACACGAAAATATAAATCCCATCCCCATTAAGAGAGGAGTGAGACAAGAAGATGTAATATCGATAATCTGCCTAGGCCAAATCTTGAAACTTGACAAAGAGAACCAAAGTGCGGAAATTATGTACGGATTTGGAAAACTTAGTTTGATACTTAAGAACCGCAAAATACCCCAATACTTGAGAAGCAAAGTGTTCAACCAATGCATCCTTCCTATCATGACATATGGATGTCAAACCTGGACCAAGACAAACATGAATAAACTAGCCACAACACAAAGAACAATGTCAGATAAAAAGAGGAACGACTGGGTAAGATCAAAAACAAAAGTCGAGGACATAACAACAAAAATTGCCAAATTTAAATGGAGCTTCGCGCGCCCCACCGCTAGACAAAAAGACCAACGTTGGACTACTACAATACAACATTGGAGACCTTACGAAAGTAAACGACCAAGAAGAAGACCACAGATGGGATGGGTTGATGACATTAAAAGAATAGCCGGATCAAATTGGAAATATGTTGTTCAGGATAGAGACCGATGGAAGGAGTTGGGAGAGGCCTATGTCCAAATATGGACGATAGAAGGCTAAGAAGAAGACTAGATCTACTGGAATTGATAAAGAAATGGATACATCCGGACCCCCGTATGGTTTTTAAAAATGAAAGAGAAAAAAGAAGTGCAGACAAGAAGAAGAGAAAGAGAAAGCGTAGGCAAGACCAGAAAAAGGCACATGAGAAGCATAGACAAGAAGAGAAGCTAACACACGTACTATTTAAAACTAGAAATTGCCATGACAGGATAAATTACATGGTTCCATTTTTCAAAATGAAAAGTAAAATTTCCATATTACTCTTTCTTTATAAGTTCCACAATGTTCGCTTCTACTTGTATATTAACTTCGGTAACCTTATTGAATTAACACTTTTCCTAATAAATTTACAGTGTGATAGTTCTAGTTCTCTTTATACTATGTATGCTTCTCCAGGTAGGGTCATTAAAGTACATACAACATATTCGTTTCAGACATTTTAAGATTAAATTATAATAATTTTATCAGTTCTCTTCAGACATTTTAACTACTTTCTGCACAAAATCTTCATATTTTTTTATTATTAGTTTTACCAAAGAATACAGACGCATTGGTTTTACTTTATATCTTTTCCATCATTCTTCAAACATTGATAACACTTTTTCTGAACTATTACATTGTTCTTAATTAGGCTACACAAAATACAGTGATGTCTTTTCCTGCCTAAATTCAGGTATAGGTGAAGACCAATATTTTGATTTCTTTCAAATCTAGGAAGGATTGTCAAAAAATTCCGGACTCCGGTGTTGATGCCCGTGCTCCTCGAAGGATGTGTCAATATTAGTTCTTGAATTTTATTTTAAATAATAAGTGCATTAAAAAATTATTGCTATTTTTATAGTTATCCCATCATAAAGATGAATTTTTGTGAATAGCTACTATTAAAGGAATATTGATCGCACATGGAAATTTGGTGCCAGGTGTAAGGAAGTATTTTAATGGAAATTAAATACATTAAATGATCAATAATGAATGAAAGTGATTTCAAAAGTATTTTGGCTACAACTGCTTCAATTTGTACAATTCTACAGTTTTTAACAGGAACGTAAGTACAGTACTAACAATACTTTAATATTAATTTTATAGCTAGTAACTGGAGGTTTTGACAAAAATTTATAAATAAATGTTGATAACATAAAAGGTGTGCCTTTCCTAATGGCATTGCCTAAATTGTGATCTACATTATTGTCAATTTAATAATTTTTATTCAGAATTAAGTAAAAGAGAATTTTCTTATCCATTATAATTTGTTTAAAAATGAATGAATCACATCTTTTATTATAGAGCTCCAATGACTTCAAAAAACTACAAAAAAAATGAAAAATAAGTATTCTAAAATTGTAAATCTCCACTCAGAATGAGCACTTATATAAATAATGACTTTATTAGTTGAAATCTTAATCAAAGTTCAATTTTTATAGTTTTTGTCAAGTTCAACAGTTTTTGGTAAAGCTCAATTGCGACAAAGTATTATTTACTGTAATATTACATCTTCTGTATAAAATACACAAAAGTTGATAAGCATATTCCATCCTACACAATTTAGGGTGAATATTGAATATTCAATATACATACTGAAAAAATTGTGCCAAAAGTACCAAAAAATAAAATTTGCTCCAGATACCATATTGTACATGTGTGTTGGCAAATGGAAAATATAAAAAAGATTGTTCATGCTCCATTTTCAATTTGTTTATTGCCACATGGGATTTGTTTTGTACCTACACATCATATATTGTTATACTTACTTTGTTGATAAGATTAAGATAAAAATTAAAATTAAACTGATAAGAATTTTGACTTCTTATATTATTTGTTGTAACAGAATTAATATAGAGACTAATATGATTATGATTAATCAGTACAATAGAAGTTGTAGAAATTTATAGCATGCTACTGCTGAGAAAATAATGTAATTTTGAGATCTAATTGTAAGAAAATATTCTACAATTAGCGAATAGAGAATGAAGATATTGAGCAAGTGGACAAAATGAAATACTTAGGAGTCTGGATTTCAGAAGATCTGAATCTGAAATCAGAAATTTGCTCAAGAATAGAGCAATCACAAGCAGCTTGTTTGAAGATGAGGAAATTTCTGAGTAACCAAAGACTCAATCTGCAAATCCGATATCAGATGGTAAAATGTTATATCCATTCTATTCTTCTTTATGGTGTCGAAGCCTGGACTGTTAATGTTGACTTAATGAGAAAACTGGAAGCTTTTGAGATGTGGCTTTTTAGGAGAATTTTGAAGATACCATGGACTGATCATATTACGAACGAAATGGTGTTGCACAGAATAGGAAGAAAGAGAACTTTGACCACCATTAAAGTGAAGACAGCATATTTAGCACACATACTTATAAATGATAAATATGAGTTGTTGCAGCTGATTATGAAGGGTAAAATCTAAGGAAAAAGTGGTCCTGGTAGACGACAAATTTCCTGACTGAAAAACATTCGCGACTGGACTGGGTTAAACACACAGATGCTCTTAAGAAAAGCAGAAGATAGAGACGAATTTGCAGTGGTTATAGCCAACCTTCATTAGTGGAGACGGCACTAGAAGGAGAAGAAGCGAATAGAGTCTACAAATAACATAATCTATCTAGCGAATTTAAAATTATACAGTCAATTAAAAAAACTACTATGAAAAAGCAGACATTTTTGAAATCACAGCATCAAAAATATTTAAAATTCGTTATTTTTTAAGCACCAAATTCCTGTTTCATTTGCAAGTTAAGCATGTACTTTGTATTCCAATTCTTCATGTGGCAGAATTTTCAGTTTTTTATTAACGCTTCTAAAATGAAAGTAATTGCTTTGTTACGTAGTTGCTGCAATCTGCTGATTTAACTGTTGATTCATTTGTTGTGTCTTTATTCAGCTGTATAAACACATTTCGTTATAATCTCAGGACATTGATTAATTCATTAATTTATTTATCTTCAACTGGCTGCTACCCAATAAGATTAACAATGTTTACTATCTATTCAATAGAACAAAAAGATTAACTTAATTATCGAAATGATGATTACCTATTCCACAGCCACTCAAATAAACACATGCCTGAGACCAGAAATGAATTTGGCATTCGGTGCAAAAAAATCTAGATCTGGGTGAATATTTGCCCATCTTAGTGCTCGGGATAAAAAATTATTATATGCATAGTTGGTTCTGTGAAGAGGAACATAAAAAGTTTGGTTTAATCATGTTCTACGGAGAGGTACTTGCAGACCAACCTGCTCATGTAGCTGAGGACACAAGACTGTAGAATTAATTATGCCATAAAGCATCTTTGCATCTTTAATTAATCATAGGTCATACAATGAGAGAATACCAAGTTGGGTTTCAATTTGATCATAATTTACTTGATTTAATTCAAAAGGTATACCCTGTTTATATGCTACATATTTCAAGAACTTGTGTTGAACTGTCTCAATTTTTAATATGTAAATATTATCAGATGGAGACCATACAGCATCGAGCAAAAAGACAATAGAGGGAATGTAAAGGTAAGTGGGGGCAAACATATTGTTAGACAGGAAGTGCGATCTTTAGAGGCCACATTAAACAAGGAAAGATAGTCTCTCTCCTTGTTTGACATCAAATTTAGTTGGGTTATGTTATTGTTTGTCCCAAATGTCACATGAAATCTTATTTATATTGAAGTTTTTTAACAATTGTGTCGCATTTTAGACTCTTATCATTAATAATTAATTAAAACTTTCTCGTCTAAGACACATTCTGAAAAATATTATATAGCTACTGGTGATAAGTGTCGGAAAATTTAAATTTCGCGCATTCGCATTCCGGATATGTCCGCCATCAGAGGCCACTTTTTTGGTCTCCTTTTCATAAGGATTAGATTCCCTCTTTTGTCTTATTGCCGATGCCATACATACACAAGAACAATACTCTAAATGGGGTCTGACTAAAGAACAATATAGTAATTTAATCACTTCAATATTCTGAAAGTCTCTAGTGAATCTTTTTATAAAGCCAAGCACTTGTAAAGACTTGAAAATTATTGACATATAATGTGATTCAAATAAAAGTTTAGAGTCTAAATTAATTCCCAGATCATGAATTTCGGTAACCCAGTCAACAAAAATGTTCTGTATATTATAATTGTATTCCATTGGGTCTCTCGATCGTCCAAAAGAAACAGCATATCACTTGGATACGTTCAGGGCCATGACATTCAACACACACCACTCACTCAACCGATCGAGATTGTGTTGAAGATTAACACAATCTTCCTTTTATTGATAATTGTGTAGAACTTTAGATCATCCGCAAAAAGAAGAGGTGAACAGTGCTGGAAGCAGTGGTGTATATCATTGATGAATATGTTAAATAACAGTGGTCCCAAATGAGAACCCTGGGGTAGTCCTGAATAAACCTTAAACAGTGTGTAGTGCATGTACCCTACAGGCCCTCTCCATGGTCTTTCTTAGGAAGTACACAAACGCTAGTATATTACATTCAGTTGATCTGCTATTGCGAAATTGTTGTTTCCCAAATTGTTGGTCTACTAGCTGTTTTTCAAGTGAAGCTTTAAAATAGTCACATACAAAACATTCAAATATCTTTGGTATTACACTAATTATACTAATGGGTCTGTATTTATTCACCAATGAATTATCTACTGCTTTACAAATAGGTGTTAAAAATTTTATTTTTCCTGCATTCTGGAAATTCACCCTTATTTAAGGATAGATTAAAAATGTGGAAAAGAGGTCTAAATAATATAAAACAACAATTCGTGAGAAAGCTCGGAGGCAATCCATCAGGAGCAGGACCCTTATTCACATCCAGTTCTGATAATTTTAAATAAATATCAGATATAGTTATGTTGAAACCAGTCCAGTTAGTAAGACCATGTGAAGGTGAATCACTGGGTATGTCACATATTTGAGTGGAATAGACTGTAGAAAAATATTCTGCAAAAAAGATTTACAATATCTGGTCCGTGACTGGATTCAACACCACCATAACTCAACACAGTGGACAAGGAAGGCTTTGTCCTATTAAATAGACTAACTTCGCCATTTGACATTCAAGAGAATTAAATGTCACTCAAGAACCCAATTCAAGTTTTGTGATGCTCTGTGAACATGGGAGACCAATTTTCTCTTACAAGTAATATTTCGGAGAGATGCAGGGATGTAAATTGTGAAAAATACATTATTGTTTATACTTTTTTAAAAAACACTTGCTATAATCAAACACAACAAATTAATAATGGGGAAAATTAGAATAGATCACAAACATTTTGAGAATTATTAGAGAAATTTAATATAATCAAATGTAGGGATGTTTTTCCAAGTCGATTCTCCACTCCCAAACACCCATAAGAGTATAAAGGACATAACTTCCCGTCTAAAGAAGACCTCACTTACTTTTAAAAAAGACCTAGTTGTGAACTGGCTCAACAAACACAAATACGAGCCAGCAGAAAATCTGACGATTGACACTGACACCCAAACTGACCCGTGGCATGGAGGCTCCCAGAAAAGAATCAGTAAATTAGATAATATCAACAGTTTTGAAACCTGGGAAGAAACGGCTAACCTGACATGGGATGACAAGGTATACAAGAGGACCAATGTAGTTATCGGTAATCCTATTACCACCGGAAACGACATCGTTAAGGTCGTCATGGTAGAACCAAACGACCCTCAAATGAGCAACAGTATTCAGAGGCTATATAGGGATAAATACCCAGAGTTGGCAGAACTTGAAGCAGATTATGAAGTACTCGAGCAAAGCACTACAATTAAATCAAAAGGGGCAAAGGAGACCAAAAAAATAATAAAAATTAAACAAAATGGGGACAGAAAACAAATCTGGGAAAAAATCAACATGGTGAAGGAAGAAGTGGGTCAACAAGGTAAGGTCGCTCTCCACCATGTTAATGCCATGTCGGTAGATGAACTCCGGAAAATGTGTGAAATAATTTTCCAAAAAACAGAGGTGACTGTAAACATCCATACTACGAACAAACGGAAGGAGAGGGCCACATACGGTATGATTGTTACC